ATATACTGAGATAATGCCAACAGCAAAATAAATGACAAAAAGCTAAAATTACCTATACCACCCTTTTAAATGCTACTATTTCCTCACATTTACACCTTTCTAAATACATATTCATATTAGAGAAGAGATAGAAGAAAATATGCAAAGTACTTTATGTTAAAATTTTATGTTCATTAGTAAAAATATGCGGAATATGTATTAAAGATCTCAACATTTACAAAAGGTATTGGAATAATACATATAAAGACTTTTTCACTTACCTAATCACTCAATAGTTTATATTATTGTAAAATATCAAAAATAAGCACTTATCTAAAATAAGTACCTCCTAGACTTTCATCATAATGCAAGCAAAAACTAAAAATACACACCTTTGAAAATAAGCACCCTCTTATAGCTGATTGGTCAGTTGAATTCAATGCACAATGATAAAAAATCCATGAAATTTGATATCATCATGTGTTAAAATTTCAAATTTTGATATTGATGATGTAATATTCTGTAGATTTTTTATCGTTATACATCAAAATTCTGAATTTTGACATTGACAATGTAATATTCTGTGGATTTATTATCGTTATGCATTAAAATTCTAAATTTTGACATCAGGTAGTATAAAATTTTGTCATCATGCGTTAAAAGTTTAAAATTTGATATCAGATTTTTGTTGTTATATATTATAATCAAGGTTTTAATATACAACAATATGAATTTTATATCAGTTATAAATTTTTAATATAGAAATAAATGAACTAAAAATGATTTATTAATGATTTATATCAAATTCATTAAATCTTTTATTTAATCAATAACAATTTCAATACTATCATTTAATTTATTTAAATTTTTCTTTTTATATTCTTCAATCAATTTATCAATTTCTTCATAAACTAAATCATCTTCTGATCCATCTAATATATTTGAAATAGCACATTTTTTAAAAGAATTAAAAATAATTTGATCTGAAATAGCATTCTATGAACGTTTAACCCAATTACATACATCATTAATTTTTGCTTTTTTTAAGTTACCTGCTGCTGTTATACCAGCATCACCATTACATATCCATTCATGCCATTCTTTGCGTAAATTATCTTTAAAAGGTTTATTAATTGATATATCAAGTAGTTGACATATACTAGTTAATCCTGCTAAAATTATAACTAAATAAAAATTATGCTATTTAAATTTAACTTTTAAATTTTCATTAAATCTGATGTTATCCATCCATTTTCTTAAAACCAACAAACAACACCTTTTGGAATAACTTTACTACAAGGAAGTTGTTTTCCTTTAAAGATACAAATAAAAGGATATTTTGTACTATCTGCAATAATAAAAAGTATTTATTAAATTTAGTTAAATATAAAATAAAATAAAGATTAATAATTCTATACCAGCTGAACAAGTTAAAACTACAGTAAAATGATTTTTATCATTTTCAGTAATACGAATATGTACTGTCTTATCTCCTTTATTATTGACAGTTAAATTTCCTGTTATGTCAAATCAAACAGGAGTTTTATCCATATTGAAAATGTTATTTAAATCAAAATTATACTGTATTCTCAACTTAATAACAAATCTTTTAAATTCTTCTAATTTTGTTTTTAAATCTTTAGGTAATTTTTGTGAAATTTTAGTTCTTCTTCTTAATGATAGATTAAATCTTTTCATAAAAGAACTAATCTAAGAAAAACTTCCTTGAAATTCATATTTTCTTGTTAGATACAATGCTTAGATAGTAGGTTTTTTAAGAAATTTAGACATTTATAATCTAATAGAAACATAATTAACAAATAAACCTTTCTTTCTCTGCTCCATAATTCAAATATATAAGAGATTTTCTACTTTAAGATAAAAAGCTTTTTTTTCTGAGCCAACATGTTTTTTTTTACTTTCTTTTTCTAATTCTTTACTTTTCTTAACCCATCTTCTAATCATTAAACCATCTAAATCAAAGTGTTTTACTATAGCATTTCTTTCATATTCTTGAACATATTTAATTATTATTAATTTTTCTTCATCTGAGTATGATGTTCTTTTTCTTGTGCTTACTTGTTTTTCCACCATCTTTTTAAAAGTTAAAAAAAAACTTGCAAACAAGCAAGTATGAAAAGCTATTTTTTAATAGACGTGAAAAATGTTTTTTATAATAGGTTGAGTAATAGATACAAAAAAAAATCAATTATTTTTGTAATAAGTGAAAGGTAAGTAGATAGATAGGTAATAAAATATTAAAAAAAAATTTTTTTAGTAAACGGACAATGAATACAAAAAAAAAATACTTTTTTTATTATTAGTAAGCATATGAATGATTGATATAAAAAATCACTCTCTTTTCATAATAAATCTATAAACAAGTAGCAAATATAAAAAAAATTAACAATTTTTGCTTTTTTTCCATAACAATCGATGGATAGATGGATGGTAAATACAATAAATTTTTTTTTTGCAATATACAAAATGTGATAATCAAAATTAAGCACTCTCACTAATTTTAGTGATTATATGGTTATAAAAAAAGGTGTTTATTTTCAGTGTTTTACGGTAAGACCCAAATAATGTTATATAAATATATTCTGTTCAAAATTAGTAATATCAGAGAGCCTGTTCTTTTGGAGCAAATATTTATATCAGTAAATGTTATTCTGCTAAATCTTATTTTGCTAAATGTTATAAGGAAAAAATTTAAAATATTTTGGAGGATTGATTTATATGTAAAATTATTTTATCACACAAGTATAGTTTTACAGATGATTTGTGAAGTATCATTATTACATCATATACACTTTAATGATGATTGAAAACATGCTAATTTATGTCATACACGCCTATATGCATTAGCCTTGAAGTATTTCATATAGTTAAACAATATATTATTTTATTAATACAATATTTGGGATCTGGATCAATGTCTGATCTAAAAAATTTAACGTACAAATTCAAATTATCATTTAAATCTGTGAAATTCACGGTAATATCTTTTCTGAAATACTTTACTAAAATAATTATACAATATATTAGAGGATCTAACCCAGAATATGCAGATCACATTTTTTATCCAGCAGGTGATACATTTCACAATTTTACCAAACGATTATGCATGCAGATTATATAATACAAAAAATAAAGAATGTTATACATTACATTTTTGGCTAAATAATATTAATCTTCAATTGAAAGCAATAGTTTATAATTAATATATTTCTCAGAATAAGTCAGTTAAACAAACGTGATTTTTGTCACATCTTTCAATCTTAATACAAGCTGATTAAGATAGTTTATAGATAGTATTAAATTATTTTATTTTGCATATTGAGACAAAATAAATATTTCGCTTGTATTATTTTTGCAATTTGATGATTGATAAGAAGTTGGTGAAATTATTTCTTGCCTGGCAGATAAAATACGAGCTAACTCAAAATTTGAAATACTTAATAGTATTTTTTACTACAGTTACTTTAGATTATATATAATTTTTATAGCTAACCGTAAAATTTCCATCATAATCATAAGATACTAATGCTAACTTATCCTTTTCTGAATGTGAGTTAAATTGAAAGAAAAGCTCTAGATAAAGGTGATTAATTTTAACCTCTTCTTGTAATATAAATTGTTTATATTGCTAGATATAAAATTTCCTTCTATTAATAGATTTAAGAATTTCTTCTCTTTTTGCATATTCATTCAAAATAGTATTTCCAGAAATACATCTTTTTAAGTGGCTATCTTAATAGTAATTAGCTTTACTAAAACTATTTTCAGATATAAAAATTAAGGAGTCACATACACTTAATGCTCTAAATAGTTCAGTTCAGTCTGAATTATAGGCTAATCTGAAACTAAACTGAAAATTTTAGTTCAGTTCAGTTTGGATTATAAATCTTAAAAATGCTAATCTGAAACTAAACCAAATCATAAACCAGTAAAAATCTGAACTGAACTGAAAATTTTGGATTAATCTAAAATTTTGAATCATTTAAAATGATAATTTCATCATTCTAATTGAATGATCCTTTTATCATTTTTTTGAAAAGATAATTTAATCATTTCAATTAAATGATTTTCTTATTATTCGTAATCATTCCAAATGAAAAATTTTTTATCATTCTTTTAGAATGATAATTTAATCATTTTAATTGAATGATTCTTTTATTGTTCGTTTAGAATGATAACTTCAATTGTTTCAAATAAACGATAAATTTAATCATTCTTTTGGAACGATATTTTAATCATTTCAATTGAATGATTTTTATCATTCATTTAGAATGATAACTTCAATCATTTCAAATAAATGATTCTTTTATCATTCTTTTGGAATGATAATTTAATTATTCTAATCAAACAATTCTTTTATTATTTATTAGAATGATAATTTCATCATTCTAATTAAATGATCCTTTTATCATTCTTTTAGAATGATAATTTAATCATTTCAATTGAATGATTTTCTTATCGTTTATTTGGAATGATAACTTCAATTGTTCCAAATGAACAATTCTTTTATCGTTCTTTTGAAATGATAATAATCAGTAGAAATGTCATAAGAGTTATCGATTTCTAATTAAAAATTTGTGTAATATAAATATAATAAAGGTTCTTTTACAAGCTAATATAATTAAACTTTAATACACTTACTCAGCTAATAAATAAATATTAATTCTTAACTTCTATTTTATATATTTTTATAAATTTTTTCAAATCAAATCTTTCTATAAAAAGAGATTGTATTTTAAAAGCTTGGTATATTTTCATATTTATATTTATGATTGAACAGTTAAATATATGAGAATGCTCAAAATTACAATATAGGTATCTATTTCTTTAGTATTTTTATTAACTTTTACAAAGGAAAAAGTATATTTATACGGTAGTTCCTAAGAAATTATAAATTATATATTATTTAATTTGTATTTTAATAGTTTTATTATAAAATTTATTAATTAAAACATATCATTTTACTTTGTAATAATAATAAGTAATAGAAAAGTGATTTTCTAATCAGATTTTTTGATATGATAATTCCACCAGCTATAAATCTTTTTCTTATTCCATTCTACTCCTAATAACTGTTCGATTTCTTGATATACTTGATCAGGAATTTTAGTCTTATAGATAAGTAATCTTTCTAAAACTTCTTTTTCATGAGAAAGAGTCTTTCTTTTTTTAACTGATTGATTCTATTGATTTTAAAGTAAATTGATGTCTTGTTGTGATTGATTTATATTACTTTCTTCAAATTTTTTATACTTGCATTTTTTTTCTTTATCTATTTTATTTTGAGTAAGATAATCTTTATATTTCATTTTACGAACTCCTAATGCTCATCGCCCAGTAGTATTTCTTATTTCATTTTATAGAACTTCTTAATAAAAAATTGTTTGCATTCATACTAATCTATCTTTGTAACATACAATTAACTTTTTACATTCTGTTTTATTTAATTCAGGTGGTTTCATTTCATGAAAAATTAGATGAGATAAAAGATCCTTCATATCAAAAATAGCTACCAAATCCTCTGCTAATGTCTATAATGATTCTTTACATGTATCAATAGCCTGAGAACTTCGTGAAATTGTAGTATCCTCTAAATATTCACTCAATAGTAAATCAATCCTTTCTCTTTCAGCTTGTGCAGCTTTAATATTTGTCTTAAGAGTTGTATTATCAATAATGTTACCAATAATGTTCTGTTTAATGAAGCATACTCCAAATATTTCTAAAGCTTCATCAAAGTCAAAACAAACATTTTTTGAATTTTCATCTTCAGTGTTATTTATTATTGGAAGAGTTAGATATTTTAAATGAACTAACATATCATAGTTTTTCATTTAAAATTGAAAATTTTTTCAAAAGAGACAAATATTATGCAATGGCAGTTGCATAATTAGATTTGGTAATACTTGAAAAAGAGGAGTAGCAGCAGCAAGAGTATCTCGCTGTAAATCATGATTACCAATTTCCATTCTAATACGATAAGCTTTCTAAATTTCAGCTCAACGATAATATAAGTACCATACTTTTAAAAAAATATGAGAATTATTATTTTCATCCATTATTTGATTTATTTGAATATTTTTTTTATATAGATATTGATTGCAATTCCTACTGCTACCCACAAAAGATCTAAAACTCGAACAGTCAATTAATAATCAACAGCAGCTTCCAGTTTATCCAAAAAATGTATACCCAATCGATAAGCAAGATTTAATAATTCATAACTAGAAAATAATACAAGCAAAATAGAACAAAAGTCTTTAGAGGTATACTATTATTCTAATAATAGTTATAAATAAGGCCATTGAGCTTTAGCTCTCATTAAATGTCAAAAAATAGCTTTGTCTACAATAATATTAAAGTATTCCTTTTTATTTAATTCAAAATCATCTATATACATTTTTGCAACTTTCAAAATAGAATCATCAGAATTTGGATTTTCTTCTAGTTCTAAAATAATTATATGTGGTGAAGGTCCTCAGCAACCATATTCAAACTCAGGTAATAGTTCCTTTTTTATTGTTTTTATATCAAAATCCTTGTTATATATTAACTGACTAGTATTATTAATTTTTATATCTAACAATTTTTCAAGAGTTTTTTGAAATACATCAAGAGTATACTGTGTTTCTGAATTCATACCAAAAAGATAAGTATTTTCATTTAAACTAATTTCTTGTTTATTTTCAAAAGTTATTATATTTGATTGAAAAGCCATTCATAAGATTGCGTGAGAACTATCTCGAGTTACATTATATATATTATCAAAAGTGAAAGATTTTTGTTTGAAATCTATATTATCAATTATAGCCAAATTTCACATATTTGGTTCTTTAATTAAATGTTACTTTAGTATAATATTACTCATTCGTATTTTTTCTTTAGTTCGTTCATGACGTTTAGTGTGACTAGTAATATTTCAAACTATTAAAAGTTGATGTAACTTTGTAATCAATTTTGGTTTACGTCCTAGACTAACTAAAATATCTGTCAACCATATTTTATATAAAAGAAAAGTCATTCTAGTTAAAACTAATATAAAAAGGTAACAATTTTAAGAATTTTTAATTCAGGTATTTATTTTGTTAGTGTTTTTTGATGCTTTCTTTAAAGATTACTAACTGTTATTTTTTTTTAAAAAATTTCATAAGTCATATCCATAAAAAATTTGGAAAGAAATAATGGGAATGCTCTATAATATTCAGAAATTGATGTTGGTGATTCTAATAGTTCTTTTTTCTTTTTTATTTCATTATGTGATTTATATAACTTTATACCAATTTGGCATTCTAAAGAATGATAATCTTCCACTTCGTTTTCACTTTCAATCAATCTTTTTGAATTATTTTTTTGTATTCAAAATGTATCAAGAAACAACACTCTAATTATAAATAAACTTATAGGTTGTGTTAGGGTTTTATAATAATGCTATTGCTTGAAGATTCTTGAGAAATAAAAGAAAGAAATGAATTGACTACTGCTTTTAAAATCATGATTTTTTTGATTTATCATCGCTTTTTGCAATATTATTAAACCATTATGCAATAAATTCAAGTCCTTTGCTAGTATCTTTATTATGCAATTAATTTTAATACAATCTTTTCTTTGACCTTGTCTTGGATATCTATAAATATGTCCTCCTAATTTTTCATAGCAAATACAACAAACACATCGTAGTCTTTTAGTATCATTATAAGTACGTTGACAAAGAGTAGAATAATTTCTTAACGCATCACAGTATACTAATCTATTACAAGGAACTTAAATCCTACGACCATTTATCAACCGTGAATGATTTCTACATCCCTTTCCTTAACTAAAAAATGTTATAAAATTTTCACATCCAATACATCTTCGCTTTTGAATTGTAGATAAATTTATATTTTTTAATTGCTTATCTAAATTTTTATGAAGTTGGTTTTGATCAAATAAAAAATGAGAATCACAAACTCCTAATTTGGAATAATCATCATCTACTTGTTGAACTGCATTTTGATCTATTTACCATGTTCCATAAAAGTTATGTAGCCTTCGTAATTTATATGTTGAATTACATCTTTAAATAGTACCTTCAACATAATTGATAATTACACAAGATGTTAATGAGGAAGGTGAAGAATAAGAAGAAGAAAGTGAAGAAAAGAGGAAATAGAAGAGGAAATAGGAGAGTAAATAGGAAAGTCAATGTTAACTTTTTTATTATTATTAATTTTGTCTATTATTTTTATTAAATTATGCTTATCAAATTTAATTATTTTATCAGTTTCTTCTTCATTATCATCATAAAGGTTCTGATTTTCTTCAATAGTATAATCGTCTAAATCCTTTTTTATTTCATCAAAGTCATATTTAACAATACTGTCATCATTATTGTCATTATCTAAAAATATTTTATATTATTAATATTAATTATTTACACAAAAAAATATATTTACATATATACCAATTACCTGCTATTAATTCTATTATTTTTTGAAGTAAATCTTCATAAGATTAAAGAGAAAAAAAATCAAACTTAGAATTTGATTTGGATTCTTCAGATTTATAAAGAAAATTAACAGGAAGCGGTCCAAGCAAAACATTATCCCTATTTATAGAGTTCTCATAAATGCCATTAGTTAAAATACTATGAGTTTTATAATATAGGGGTGAAGTTGGAAAATGTATGAAAGTGGTATCATCTTTAAAGTTTAAAGCTGCAATTTCTATAATATTAATAATCGTAAACTATTACTTTAGGTTCCAGATTGAATGGAATAAACTTATAAATATCACTCTAATAACATATTTGACTAACCTTCTTTTGAACCTGTTATTTAACATTTATTATATGTAGATAATCTATTACAAAAGAGGAAATAAGAACTCAAATATAGTTTAGTGAAATTTAGCAATATATTTTATTATAAAGAAATGATCGGTAATATAAATAAATTTACTAATTTGTATAATACACGTGATCAGAGTATGATATTTCCACTGATTGATAATTTAATTATTCTAATTGAACGATTTTCTTATCATTTATTTAGAACGATAACTTCAATCATTTCAAATGAACAATTTTTTTATCATTTTTGGAAAGATAACTTCAATTATTCCAAATGAATGATTCTTTTATCATTCATTTGAAAAGATAATTTTAATTATTCTAAATAAACGATTCTTTTATCATTCCAATCAAACAATTTTCTTATTGTTCATTTAGAATGATAACTTCAATCATTCATTTGAAATGATAACTTCAATCGTTCATTTGAAAAATAATTTTAATTATTCTAAATAAACGATTCTTTTATCATTCCAATCAAACAATTTTCTTATCATTCATTTAGAATGATAATTTAATTGTTCTTTTAGAATGATAATTTAATCATTCTTTTGAAACAATAATTTAATTATTCTTTTGAAATGATAATTTAATCATTTCAATTGAACAATTTTCTTATCGTTCATTTGGAAAGATAACGTCAATCAATTTAAATGAATGATTTTTTTATCGTTCTTTTGAAATTATAATTTAATTGTTCTAATCGAACAATTTTCTTATTATTCATTTGAAATGATAATTTTATCATTCTAATCGAATGATCCTTTTATCATTTTTTTAGAATGATAATTTAATTATTTCAATCAGATGATTTTCTTATTTTTTATTTGAAATGATAACTTTAATCATTCCAAATGAATGATTCTTTTATCATTCTTTTAGAATAATAATTTAATTGTTCTAATTGAATGATTTTTTTATCATTCATTTAAAATGATAATTTCAATTGTTCCAAATAAATGACAAATTTAATCATTCTAAACGATCTGAAATTTTGGATTAATCTGAAATTTTCAGTTCAGTTCAGATTTTTTTCAGTTCAGATTAGATTTATAATCCAAAAAAAATCTGAACTAAACTAAAAATTTTTAGATTAAATTTTTTGCAATTCGAAACTGAACTGAAGTTGATCTGAACTGAAAATTTTCAGATTAATCTGAACTGTTCAGAGCTTTACATACACTATAATATATGTAATTTAATGAAATATCATGGATTTTATCATGTTCATATAAATTTTCATATATTGTAATATATCCATTCTTAGAAAGAATTCTTGGATTTTCTTCAAGTATTTTTCTAAATGGATCACAGATACAGGAGCATCACATTTCTGGTGTTTCATGATCATATTGTTCATCTAAAGAACATAATGCTTCTAATATTCTTCTATATTCTTCAAAGTTTACATCACTATAGCTTACAAAAACTAGCTTATATTAGGTTTTACTACCTAAATTCATAATAGTGTTTTAGTAGTTTATAACAGATTATAACGATTTTAAAGTATTTTATCGATTTTAGCAATTTCACTGTTTTTTTGATTTATAGTGATTTATAACAATTTGTAATAACTATATTATAATGAAATATTGAATTCATTTTTATTCGATTACAAGTATATCAGAATTTATATAGAGTCATATTTCAGGCTAAGCTAATTTTATATTTTCATACATATGCACGACGTCTGACTAAATCAGTTTTTGGTATAACGTATATCATATCACATGTATCACCCTAGATCCCTACCAGTTCCTCTAGGAGAGTTTCAGAAGCTAGCGAGTTTCTATATACAGCACCTTCAATTAAATCACGAGATGATTAGCATTATAAAAAAATTATACAGACTATTACGCAATTATATATCATTTCGCATATAGTATACAATACATAGATTAAAAAAGGAGAAAGCCTGATAAGGAAAACTTTATTTGATAAGCATATGTAAAGCGTATCTGGTTAATACATTGGTATGCAAAAATAGTTAAAAGGAAAGTGAACTATTTATTTTTTTACATTTTGATTTTTCTGACCTGCAGGTCGACAAAATCACGTGACCAGCGCATTTACTATGCAAATTTCGCTTCAATAGCATCTATGTCATTCCAACTTAGCTTATAAATTTATGAAGCTGAAAATGACTTTATCATATTAAACGAATTGTTTCTTGATTTAATGTATTCTTGACATTCTTCATTAATTTTTTTGGCATTGTTGGTGAAGTTAAAAAAGCATTTTCATCCATTAAGTTAGAAATAGTTGAAATTCTGCTTGATTGGGATAATTGTAAATCTCTCTTAATAGAATTCAGATCCATGATAACATTGACATTCTTTTTACAATTGGAAAATAAATGCGCGTCTAGTTTGGTATGTACAGAGGGTCATCAAAAGTCTTTGAACACCACTTTTTAGCACAATAAATCATTTAAAATTTTTAAAATTTAATAAAAAAAATTATTAAATAATTATTAAAAATGACATATAAAATAAATTTCATATTAAATAATTAGTACTTGATCAGGCCTCCATTTGTTTCAATTACAGCCCAAATTCGTTGTGACATACTATCGACCAAATTTTCGATAGTATATAAGAAAATTTTTCTCCATGACTTCTTAATATGCCGCTTTAGTTCAGCAATGTTAGAAGGCATTTTTTTCAAATCACAGATGCTTTTCTTGACATCAGCTCACAGATTTTCGATCAGGCTGATGTCTGGACTTGAGCGAGTTATGAAAGAACGTGCATATCATTTTCTGCATGAAAATTCTTCGCCTGCTTCGTATTGTAGGGCAGAGAATTATCCTCCTGAAAACTATCATCACCATTTTGAATGCATTTTTAACGTACGATTCATGTAAACAAAATTCGAAACATCATATGACTGCAGAATTGCTAAGTCATATGAAATTGCCAATATTGAATTGCACCTAAAAAGTGGTGTTTAGAGACTTTTGGTGATCCTCTGTAGAAGTTGCTTTTCAATACACGACCTGTGAAAAATATGATCACATGATAATGTTGTAAATGCTTTGAGGGGAAGTGTTAAAATATTGTTTGTACATTCAGAATATGGTTCTAGCTCTGGAATTTCTTTATCTCTTACAAGACCATCATCAAGATTTTTTAGGATATTGTATCCCAAATTTTTAATATTCGAAAGAGAAAAACCAGAAGTACTTTGTTCTGAAGCTGATATAATGAAACTTTTCTCTTTACTAGAATCAAAAAAAATATACTGACCTCATTTTATATCATGTATAAATTTTTTAAGAGAAACATTTCCTAGATTTTCACCAGCAATTATGCATTGCATTTCGTCATTCCGCTAATCCCTTGCAAATTGATAAAAATGACTTCATGATTAGTATAGATATCTCCAATCCTATATGCGAAATAATGATTGCTGGAAAAAATATCTATATCTGAATATTGTTTTACTAATATGATCATGTTTTTTGCAATACTTGTGATGTATGTAATAAGTTTTTATTACTACGTTCTCCAGCTGTTTCTCTTCCAGTTTTGTGACTCTTTCTCTAAGCTCGGCATTTGGAAGTGTTTTTAGAAAAATCAGGTTTTGAGAAATTTTTGACTAAAATTAAGAGCTTAATACATTTTAATCTAATAATATCAAAAACTAAAATGCAATAAAAATCTCAATTTTGCTAAAAAATTCCCAGAACCTGATTTTCCTAGCAATCAACCCATTTCTTGCTTCAAGCTCAGCTTTCTCAAACTTGAGCCCAGTTATCTTAGCCATAAGTCTGGCATTTTCTTCTCTAAGTAAGTTAAACTTGGATTTTATAACACAAACGAAAAAATAATGCGAATATATCTTCTGCGCATTTCAGGTGATCAGTTTAATCTCTTTTGCATAAGCCACTCACGTGATTCAAAAAAAAAAATAAATAATTCAGTATGCAATTTATCCAATAATTCTCCTAGGTGGTTACTGGTGAGATAATAGGACTTATAATTGGTGAGGTTTTTCTTTCATATTTTCTGTCACGATAATAATGACCTCTATCACGTTTACAGTTCACCATATTCATCCACTGTATTATTATCGGAATCAGAATCATGGTCGCCATCATCCGCATTAACAGAACCTGAAAAATTAAAGTCATAAGATACAGGAATAGGTGAGGTTGATTCGCTCATCTCAGCAGAAACCGCCTCTGATGCATCCTCATTTTTACTTGAGACATGAATAAGCCATATCCAAGACGGTTATTAATAGGCTTGGGCAGTAGCCCTCATTTTTTCTCAATAAATTGACATTTATAGTATTATTTAATGTATAAGAATCATTTTTATTTAACGCAATTTTCAATGACAATTTCTTAATTTTTTTGATGATCCCTATTAATCCCAGTGGAAAAAATTGTTGTCTACTCTTTTATAAAATAGACAAACTAAATAATGCGGAAAAATAAACGTTATATTCTATCTTAATTCCAGATTTTTGCTCTGGAGTCTAAACTATCACGTTTTGTTGGTGAAGCCTTAACAGCACTTTCATTGATAAGAGTTCTTCGTTGAAATTTACTCTTTAGTTTATACAAACTTTGAACAAAGTGATGAAGATCCATGACACGTTGCTGATGATAAAAGACAGATGTTAAAGTATTATTTACGATAGAAGCACTGCGATGAAGATAATTATTACCTTAAAAGTAAACATTATTTCTATAATATTTAAAAGTTCTGCCAATTGACCATAATTATCGGGAATTGTAAATCCTTCAAATTGATCTACTAGATAAAGGTCGTCAACATAATGCATTGAATAGAAACAAAAAGTTTTTCCTACACAAATAAAAATTAGAAAATGTCAAACACCAATAAAATAATGAAAGTAAAACATGCTATGGATTATGTGGATAATTACTATAAATAAGAATGCCAAATGTTTCGGCTTTACAAATTCCGTTTTCATCGACTCCTTGTTTACTGAGTAATTTTCGTAATCGGAATAATCCGAGTTGCATCGCTGTCAAATTTAATGATTTTGTCAATTGAAATTAAAGAAAAATAAAAAAGCAGAACTATTTTCTACTTACACTTTAAAATTTTCTCTCGATCCCCTATCATTTTTTGATCGTCATGTATGCAGGCGTTACCTACGACTTCACAAAACCCTATTTGATAATCAACATTGTTTGCCTTCATTATTAATATAGCGTCATGATCCCATCCAACGGAACGTCGTTGCCCTTGTGGTCTTGCAGAATTTTTCTGATCTTTACGATCTGTGTTTTCGACTTCACCCCTTGTTAGCAATAAAACTTATATTAATATTTGATAAATATTTTCAAGAGATAAGAGATCGCAAGAGAAACCTACGTCCTAACACGAACAAAATTATGTGTCTAGAAAAATATCCTCTATAATACGATTAACAATCCTATCTCTGTAGGAATATTCGGATAAATCACAATCGTGAAGTGGGTTTATTGGTAGCTGGAAACACAGTAAACTATAATAGAATAAAGTCGATGTAGAAATTATCCAAAAAAAAACGAACCAAAAATTGTACTATCCTTACAATGCATTAAAAACCGATTTGATCCATTGCGTAGGCCATTCTCGAATAAAATTATATGTGTCACGATTTACAATTGAAGTCTCATCAAATAAAACGGGCAATTTCATCAAATTCACATCGTATCCGAACGTCGCATCATTGATGCCATTATTGTACTTCTTTAATAACTTTTTAACATTCTCGTTCATCCCACTACTGGAAGGTAACGTTTTCTTCTCAGCCTGAAAAAAAAACAGTATTGAATTAGTTTGTTAAAAATAATACAGGCATGATAAGATAACTAACATTAATCCAATCTGTTTCTAGTTTCGACCACTCATCTTTATTGAATATTAACTTGATTACATCACAATCGTTTTCCTCTGGCAAGAAGACAATTTTATATCGACCAATTCCACCGACTCCTATCAATCTTTCAATGATTGGATTCTACGACAGACAAGAATTTATTAAATGATGAACCTTGTGAACAAAGCAATATGCGCAAGATATCAGACCTCTGACAACGTCATATCTATCTCGTCAACTTCGATATCGTTTTGTCTTGATGATGTTGATGACTCATGTCCAATATTACTTTTTTTGATTCTCTTACTTTTATCTTTAGGCAATTCCAATGATTTTTCGACAACATTCAAAGAATCTTCATTATAATTCGGTATAATTCTCCCGTTCCTAATCCTACGTTGCTTTTGTTTACCAATTTTGGAGCTAGGCTCATCATCATCGACCTATATGTTAAGAAAGAATGAAGCATCTTACCATTATTATGCAAGGCATTGAGCAATTCTTCTGTACCTCTTCCGGTTCTTCATCATCTGTCGTTTGTTCTCGATGATGTTTTCTCTGACGGTTATCAATATTTTGGGTTCCAGAGTTTCCGGCTGTTAAAACCTGGTGTTCTACCTAATTGATAAAAATATTACTAAGTATTATTAATATTTTGTAAAATTTCAGATCAGAATCATAACCTGTAGCGTCCTAATATTAAGTGTTGTATCCGGTAACATTTTCTTTTTTGATGCAGTCCAGTGCTAATAAAATAACAAAATGCAAGGTTTAAAACTAAATGCGTCGAACTATGAGTTCGTCACTATAGACTAAGAGTCATAGCTTGCGCACAAGCATCGAACTAAGAGTTCATCACTATAAACTAAGAGTTATAGCTTGCGCTCGAAGAGGGAACTAGGAGTTCATAACTGTGACTAAGAGTCATCAGCTTTCCTTCTAGGAAGAACTAAGAGTTCATAACTGTGACTAAGAGTCAACAGCTTTCCTTAATTATGAGTTACCTATTTCTACTTTAAATACTAACAAACATACTTTCCAGTAATCCAAGATTTCTTGAGCCTTTCTTTTTCGCGTTTCGTCCAATATGTAATCTGAATTTGCAATCTTCTGTAGATCCTTTTTTATATTATCCAACAATTTCTTTCGTCCTTTTTGCTTATAAGTTTTATAATAATATTCTATTATCTTATCGCATGTCCAATCTTTTATCGCGAAAAAGCGATAGAAGTCCATGAGGAGAATCTAATCTTTGTCCTCATATCCATATATGATACATATGTGTGATACGTCATTATTACGCGTCTACATACGTCGCACAGAATTATCTCGGCAGATAATTTCCCCAAAAGGAGCAAACCATTATTAGTGTCAACACCAGCATAGCGGGCTTAAATCTGATTGGTTGATCTTAAAATGATCGTCGCATATTAATTTTCATATGAAAAGATGATCATCTAACTTTAAATGGATTCGCAGCCACAGGGATGAATTCGCAAGGGTTATAATAAAAAAATTTTTAAAATTTACCTTTCGTTCTATACACTGTTAAAGTAATTCGGTAAACGGGAAGGTAATTCGGAACTTAGCTAATAAGGGTTTTA